ATCTTATTTTATTTTTATTTTTTTTTAGCAGTTGGCCATCGCAATGCTGCCCAAGTAGAGTTTAACCTAAGATATTTTTTCCCATACATTTACTGTGATGAAAACTAAGATCTTTACCGAAAACATTTCTGCATCAAATAAATGAAAACACCTTTTCAGGTTAACTCGAAATTGAAACCTGCAGCTCTATACTAAGCAATGATAATGAAAGTGTTGTCTTTGTATCTATTTACTATATTTATTTGATTGTAGGATTTTAGGTATTTATTGTAATGAATACATAATTAATATAAATATAGATGCATCACCTTTAATCTGTACATGATGAAGACTTCTACATAATACAGCTATGTATCAAATTTATAGTCATACAGTCTGACCAGCAATATATTTAGAAAATACTTGTAGAGAATTTAGTTTAAATTAATTTTTCATAAGAAATGTTGGCATTCATTTACTAAATTCTTCACTGCATGTATATGAATATTTGTATTGTGAAGTTTATTACCTGAAATAAGTTTTTTTCTAAATATAATGTTTATATAGTTACAGTAGTTTTTAAATATGACCAATCCTTTAAAAAAAATGGGCGAAGATTAACAAAACTCTGTGGCTATTTTGTTGTTTGACAAGAAATTTAATTTGTTGTTACAAGGAATAATCTTTTCACAGTATTCAGTTTGGGAAAAGTGAGAAGTCACCAACCAACTTTTGTTTATACATCCAAAACTGAAGTTAGGCATATATTTGTGAAAAATCTTTCTGTATTGACGAATGAGAGTCTGGTGCTTTTTAAGTACTACTTTGTGTAAACGTATCTGTAAAAACTCACAATCTGTGTCAGGCTGTAGCAGCACATCATTACTGGTATTTCTCCTTTCTGCATTACCAGCATGATATGTGCTGCTCCTTCCCGACATACACCACTCTGCATTATCATGATCCCACAAAAAGGAACACGTTATTTTATAATGTGTATCTCTTGTACTATTTTGCAATTACTGACTGTTACATATGCTATTAATAAATGGCTAGTATTTGAAATAGTGTCTGGTCTTTTAATGATTTAGGCTCTTGTTTTTTGGCACTTCTCATGTATATGTGTGTATATATAGATAGATATATATGAAGAGTTCGTTTGCAAACCAGATAACTCCATCTTCACAAACCTTCAGAAAAACCACTTTTCTATCGTCTACCTGAGACAATATCAATCAAACTTAAGTTATCTCTATTTTTGTCATGTCATTTCTACTGAATCAAATCCACTCAACTTCAGTTTGACTGATATTATCTCAAGCAAACAAAAAAAACAAGTTTTCTGAAAATCTACAGAAATGGAGATATCTGTTTTTGCAAATGAACTCTTCATATGCTCATATATATATATATAACAACTGTCTACATTGCCTAAACTTATAATACAAGATGCTGTATTTATACTTTTGACCTATGTATTTTTTTAATACTTTCAGAAGACCTATAATAAATCTATAGAAGAACTAAAATGCGTGATTGTTTTACATGTGTTTCAGTCATTTCAGTATAGAAAGTTGTGAGTTGGGAACTCAAATTTGCCATAAGTTGATAAATGCTACAATGGGCGGCTGTGGCTCAGGTGGTCGAGCAGATTGTCCGCTAATCGCAATGCTGGTGGTCCCCCATCCCTCCACATGTCCAAGTGTTCCTGATGGCAGGCAAGCAACTTGCATGGCAGCTCTGTTGCTATTGGTGTATGAATAGGTGACTAAGAAGCACATTGTAAAGCCCTTTGAATACCACTAAGACAGAAAAGCACTATACAAATGAAGAGCAGCCAGTTTCCATAGACAGGACTGACAAAGAATAAGAATGACATCCCTTGTTACATTATTTCAGTTTCCAGAATGATGTTCTACACTAATATACATACGTTTTTTTGACAGTGACACGGTTTTTGTAATGTTGCCCGTTCACACCCATCTATGCAACGGATTTGAAATGAAGCAATCTAGATGTGACTGAGATGTTGACTTCTTTGCTGTAGCTCAAGGGACTGAACAAAAATAATTGCATAAACTGCCAAGGAATTACAGCCTTGTTTTTGAAATAGCCCCTTCAATTTCACAGCCTCCAAAATATTGGACTGATGAGCAGTTTCACGTCCAGGTGTTGGCCTGTTTTCTTGCAATTTCATGATAAATTAAGGAGATTGAAGATCTGGGGTTGATTCCTAATTTTGCATTTGGTAGCTGTTCAAGGCATTTTTCAATATGCGTTGTAAAAGGCCATCATTAGACCTGGAAACACAGACCAACATGAGATACAGCAGACACTTTAGGAGAGGCCAAATAAACATTTTGATGCATTTGTACAAAGAAGGAATGCATTGGCAAGCTCAGCAACACCATAAGACCTGATTTTTTTCCTCAGTGAAGAAAAAACCCCTTATGACATCTAGTCAAGTTAGATCACTCTTAAGGAGGAAGTTCAAGAATTGTGAAAGATCAACAGCAAAGATACACCTTCATAAATTTAGATACAGAGGATCTAAGTCAAGATACAAACAACTGGTACCACTCAAGAATGGAGAGGCAAAATTAGACTAAAAAACATCTCAAAAAAGCCTGCCTGGGTCTGGAACAAGATTCATTGGATGAAAGCAAAGACAAGTTGTATCACAATGATGGAGAGGAAAGAAAGGGCGAACACCTAAACAAGGTATAGTATTATGGCATGGGCATGTATGGCTGCCAATGGAGCTGGATTAATGGTGTTTATTTATGATGTGATTGCTGATAGACATAGGAGGATGAATTCTAAAGTGCACAGAGCTATATTTTCTGCTCAAACTAACATGCTGCAAAACTAATAGGACAGCAGTATGATGGATAATGACCTGAAATGTGCTGAAAAAGAAAGCAAAGTGCTTCTTGAGGCAGACAAATGGCCGACCTTAACCAAACGGAGCATGCTTTTTACTTACTGAGGTCAAAACCTTGGTGACGTCCAGGATTCCAGACTTCGGGGCAGTCACATTTAACCCTAAGAAGTTTAAAGGACTAAAAAAAAAAACAAACACAGACTGTTCTTCTTGGTCAGTCAGTGGTCAGTGTAATATTTTTGTTAAATGCCCCGGAATAAAAGTCGAACGTCTACACTTCAATTACAGTACTTAGTCAGGCTGTAAACACGTGAAAAATAGACAGAGCTACCTGAAGTTGGAATAATAAATGTAACAGCGCAACACAACCAAGGTCTGTGCTAGTACATAAGTACATAGTAAATTCTGTTACTCAGATACTAAGATCTCTTGGATTACTACATACTCAGATAAGTGTTAAGTAGTATAATTATTTTTTTACAATTACAAATGTTGACAATCAAATTTGGTGGCGTTAATATCAATGTGTACTAGCAGCTGAATAAAACCCTCAATGTCCAATAATGTCATCTCTCAAAAACGAACCTCAGGCTGACTGAGTGAGTCTAAATCAAATATTGTCACAAGTTACTTTATGGAAATATAGACATAAATTGCTGTTTGTCCTAAAGAAGTTCCTGCCACAAAACAATCATTGTTGCACACAAACACGCACACCTCTGCATTGGCTATGATCGCTACTAGTTACAAGTAGTAGTCGACCTTTTCAGCTGCATTGTGTTGTGATGATTGTGACAACTTTCTGCTGATGTATTTCTGTCCAACTGGACATGCACATCCCTGCTGCCATAACTCATTTCTTTGGTGCATCTAGTTGAGCCTTTCTTTTTATTTATTTATTTTTTTAAAAGTCAGAGTGGGAGATTCTAATACACCTGCTACCTGCAGCCAGCTGTTGCACAAGAACTGCATCTTTTTTTTATCTCAGTCATCTTGAAAACCAAAGCATAGTTGACACTGCTAATACACTACTGATTGTTTTTGTTTTTTTTAATTGTTCAGTGGTACAACTCTGCTTTGACAAAATAATACAAACCTGTAGAAGCCAATACCGTAATAAATTAGCACTTTTTAAAGTGTAATAGGCCAATAACATAATAACTGGCCAGTAACGTAATAAAAGTCCCAACGTAATATCTTTTTGCCAATAATCTAATAAGTTCTTATGTTATTGGTCTTTCAAAAAACATTTTTTTTGCAAATATAATGACCAGCCAAAAACGTAGTAAGTTATTACGTTATTGGTTAAAAGTTATTACGTTATCGGCTCAGGACTTCTATTACGTTATTGGCCCATTACATTTTTAAAAAGGCAAATTTATTATGTTATCGGCCGTTGTGACGATATTGGCTTCTACAAAACCAGTTATATGATGGTGTAAATTTAGTTTAAAAAAATAAAAAAAATAAAAAAGGCCCATTCTTCTTTCTATTCCGATTATCCACAAACCATAAAACTGTTACTGTTCACCCCATGAGGCTGATTTTCTCCCCCAGGATTGGTACCAATAGGAACTTTAAAAACACAGAGTATGGTGCCATGCAAAGGCATACTTTTTGAGAAATTGTTTTTTTTTAATTATATTTTTTTCTTTTATACGGTGTGTACTACTAATACATTATATATATATATATAGTATTTATTAGTCTAAAAGTTAAGATTAAATCCTCTTCAAATGTGCTCGTCATTCAGCCAGCTTAATGAATGAGATCCATTTATTTATTTATTTCCCAATTGGAGGTGTGAGACAGAGCACAGTTACATTCAATTGGAGGACATAAACGTCCAAGCTGTTAAAAAGTCGGCCAACATTTAAAGTGTCTGTCTTCACCTCAGTTATCTCACTACCCCAGGACCGAGTTTTCCACTCACGAGGTTACAGTGATGTGACAGACACACCACAAATGCTGACAGGTGAGTATTTTTACTGACCCACATAACTTGGATGACACTCTTGACAGGGTCTTGACTTTATGACCCTTACCAGCACATATTTCCTCCTGAAACTACACAACCTGTGTATGTCAAAAAAAGGAACAAATGAACAATATGAGTAATTGGTAGGTGTATTTTTTGAACTTTAGACAAAGCTCTTCTCTCTAATTCCTTATTATGCTAAACTAACAATGAAAAAATGAGCCTTAAATTAAAAACAAAAAAAACATTCAGTTAGTAGCTTCCCACATATCTCATGTCTCCCATTTTGCTAATCATCTTCTTGACAACTGCTGAAACTGCTTGAGAGCTCTAAATAGAGTTATGAGGGTGCTCGGCCTCACCAGAAAACAAAAGATGGTTTTTGCATTTTATTTAAACATAGTTTCCTTTAAGTTCAGTGCACTCAGTTCACCGATGTTAAGGCTTCGCTACGCTATCACAGAAGGCTCCATCCTGGTGCTCCAGATACTCCTCACTAGTAAGGATGATTTCATCATCACTCACAGTTATGACATTATACAGAGTTTAGATAGTGAGGTGTATGGGTCAACAGTGCAAAGCCACATTTAGCTGCTTCTGCCACCTTTGCTGTTTGGATGGACACAATGTCCTGGAGCAACGGCACACCAGCTTAAAGCTTTCCTCTTTTTCTTTGATTGCTTCCAAAATGAAAGTTTTTGTGGAAAGTGATATAATGCTTCAAAGTACAGAGTCAAGCCCCAAAACTGGAGTTACGCCACGTATTTTCGGGTTAGGCCGAGACCATTCTGAAGCATCCTCTTGGTAAGTAATCATTAGTTATCTTTTTAAATTGTTTTTTTATTTACTGCCTTTCTGTCAACTGCTACTTTATCTGGACATGTTTTATCTCAAGAAAATGAGACAATTATGTTGTTTCCTCATGACACAGGCCTTAAAAATAACAAGCAACGGCTCTTTATATTGTTAGTTTCACCTTAAATGGAAAGAAGGGGAAAGTGTACAATCTGTTTTTTTTTTCTTGTAACACTGTTGCTAGAAGGAAGAGATGTCGACACTTCATATTGAAAATAAACAGGAAGCAATCATGCATTCTCAAAAATGCCTACAGTACGCAACACTCTAATAACTGCTAAAACTTCTTGTGCTAACATCTGTCTAACTGAACAAAAATTGAACAAAATGTTTACGTTGTTGAGGCAGATATCTGCTGTCAAACCACTTTCAAGTTCCTTTGCAGAACAGTGTTTTATCTTGTTGATGCTACTGAGTTTCTCTGCTAAAATGTGTTTGTTTTCCTGGCTTCTCGTAAAAGATATACACCAAGTATGAATCTTAGTACAGCTTTGTCTCTGCATAAAGTTTGTCTTTAAACTTTTATTTTCTGGATACCCCTACAAAGCAAAAGCCAATGAGGAGGAGACGAAATGTCCTCCAAAATGTCTTGCAATAAAAAATAATTCAGACTCATCAGGGCCAACAAGCGTTAGTGGAGTTCTGCATGACCCAACGTAATCTCCAGTGGTGTAGTTCCTGTAACATGGGCGGCCAGCGTCATCTGGCTCACAAGATATTTCCAGTTTATCGCAACTCGTTTTCATAGTTTGTCCATCAGTTCTATGAAATCCGCAGGTAGTGAAAGGTCAGCGAGAGAGCAGAGGAAGGTCACCAGGGTTCATGATGAGGCTGGAGTCCAGGTTCAAGGTATCTATGAAGACAGAAAAAAAATGTAAACTTTAGGGCTGGACCCGAATATCCAAATATCTGAATATTCGGTCGTGGTGGTGGTATCCGGATAGCAATTTTGATATTTGAATATTCCCACATCTGCGCCGCGGGTCTGTCGTTTTTTGTAAAATGGTAAATTTGAAAATTCATGGATAACAGTAATAACTACACTTTAGCATTAAAAACATAATTTTGGTTAAAGAGCTTCTACATACTGGTGTAACAACCATTACAGAAACATAAAACATGATTCTGGTAATTAACGATGTTGTTAATTTAGGGCAGCTGTGGCATAAACCTTACATTGGATGGTGGTCTAATAAATTTGTTAAGCTGTGTGTGTGTGTGTGTGTGTGTGTGGGTATTTATGTATTTGATCAGTGAATCTCAGCCCCAAATCCAACGGCTATATCTTACAAATATACTTTTTCACCTTTAAAAAAAGTCAATAATTTCCAAGACAAACGGCCGCTGTAGGTTTGAGCAAATGTTGCTCAATTAACTATTTTCAGTGGCTGATTGATACACAATTGGTGCTTTTGTGAGTATTTGGGTTGTAGGACAGTGTGTGTGTGAAGCAGAGTCACAAAAAACTACATTTTGTGTGTTTGTGATGATAAAGGAACATGTCACCTAGTACCTGTGTATATAAAAACCTTAACACTTTTATAATATCCTATATTTTTTTCCACTTGATAAAAAGGGTTATATAAAAAATCTGCAAGTATGATCATATTGAATGATGATATGGACAGCCTTGACTTTTCTGTATGGTTAGAATTTATAATGACAAAGATAGGAGCTTAAAAATAAAGGTATTGAAATTACCCAGGAAATAGCATAGGGCTCAAAATACAAGGAAGATTCCAATAATACATTAAAAAAAATACAAATAACTGGTTGTACAAACACAATTTTTCTTTCTCATTTATTAACGAAGTATGTTTTTCTACCACACTACTTTTTTTTCTTCTTTTTTTAAACAAAATCACACCTGACAAAAACTAAATGTTGATCACAGAGTAAGTCCACAAGATAATGGCAACTTTTAATATATAACATTTTTTCTAGATTTAGTGTACTTTGTCGAGTAACAAAAGTGATATGTGTGGCTCATATCCCTCCTAAATGAATTGTTTATGAATTTTACCTTGATCAAAGTTGTTGAGCTTTTTGGAGTTGGATCCTTCATCAAGTCCCTCAATGTCCACGAGATCACTGTTGACATCTGAGTCGTTCAGAGCGCTGAGGGTCACATCTGCACATGCACAAAGAGGATGATAAATTGACTTAATTTTTATTTTTTTATTGGAGACTTACCCGATCTGCACCCTTACTCTAAATTTAGAACAAGTTTTCAGCTTAAGATTTAATAATTTCCGTTATGCGTTGTGCATTTTGTATCCAAAACAAGTAACAAGTGATTAATAAAATGTAATATACTGATGAGATACATCTATCACCAGAGGCCCCTATATCTGAATACACAAGGCATTGCTATACAATAGGATGTGCTCACTATCATTCTGCCAGTCCCTCTTGTGCATTACATTTTCCAATAGTGTTATGATTAGCACAACCACGGAGAAAGCTACATAATTGATTTGATCTTTACTCTAATAGGGAGTCAATTTTAAAATACAACATTTACAGCAGAACCGCTTTATGATGTGGAGATAAATTTGTTAAGTCTCACCTGCAGTTTTCTGTTTCTTCAGAGGAAGTTGGCCGGAGGGGGGACCCTGCAGTCCTGACGCCACAACCTGAGCTGTGGAGATGGCACCTGGAGTGCCCTGTGTTGCCCTGGCGACAGCAGCGGTGGCTTTTTTGACGACCTTCTTCGGGCCCTCAGAGGAGGCGGGAAGAGGTCCGTCTTCATACAGTTTCCTCTTCACTGTGCTCTTTGTCTGACAGCTGGAGGGAAGATGGGAGCTAAACTGACTTTAGTATTTATATCAAGTCACATGGGTCACATCTGCATTTGTATGCAGCGGGTCAGCATTTGGATTCAGCTTTTAGACCTGTAAATGTCACTTTTTTAAGACTTTATCGAGTGGGAGAGAGATTTCTCAGAAAGAATCAGACTGTGTAGATTCTCAGTCATGCAGGTCAGTTTCAACCTTGGAGCTTCAGTTGAAAACTACTAGACTTCTTTTTACAGTTATATTGGCATCTACTACAAAGAATATTCAATCAATAGCATTCCTGACTTGACCAAAAATGACCGTTATGCTCAGAACCATGCTAAAAGAGTACAGTTACCTAACATGAATAACAATTTTACACCAGCATTCCGTTCTTGCATCATTTGCAGTTGCAGCTCTTTTTACTGTAATAAACTGTTGTGTCCTTTGTAGCTTCAAGTCACATGACACATTATACATCCGCTTTCATGTGAACACTTACTGATAAGAATTTCTGTATTTCAGATAATAAATCTGCTGTGTATCCCGTTTATACTTCCAGAAACTGTCTGAGTTGGTGGCAGCTGTCTATTGTGAACGCAAGTCTTTATGGAACCACATGTGCAAAAGTCTACTATAATTCAATAGAATTACTATATAATAAATATGAACATTTCATTGTGTTTGTGTGTCGTTACCCTGCAGGAATGGAGTCTGCTACCGGGTGAAGCTGCATGGTGAGTTCTCCTAGTTTGGTGAAGGCGGCTCCGGCAGCAGAGAAGATCTCCCCAACCTGTGCAGCACACACGAGAATTAATATTTAACCAACCAGCTGGCATGTAGTTCCATGGAAAACAACACAAAAAGTGGACATAACCACATGAACACATGCATAAAATAATATGTACAGAATCCATCCGCATGTGACACCTTCCTGAACATCTGATTCTGACACTATGGGGGTTCATTTGCAGCCTCCAGTCCCAGCACATGTTAAACCTGCTTCACGAATTTGAGTCAGTGAAGTCCAAAAATGACATTGGGTGATAACGCCTGGCCTCATATTCAGCATTTCGGGTTACTTCAAAAGTGTTGGTTGGGGCTGGTCTTGTATTCGTGGGAACTGCATCTAAAGCATCTAAACTCTTTGCTAAAACAAAAACATTTCTCTTTAGCTGAAGTGAGAGACTAAGACCAAACCAGGAGGAGCATGTAGGCAAGGATGTACTTGTCTGTGTTAAGTGTCTGAAGATGCATCCAAAACTTGAAAACAGGTCAGCTCTGAGAATAAATTACAGGTTCAGGCATATGCTATTGCAAGATCACTGGTGTTTACGTAGTGCAGGTAATGCAGAACATTTTCCACAAAGACCTGATGGAATTCTTTGACCTCTGAAATCATCTCTCAGCACCGAGTAACCTCAGTTCACTGATGCTCTGCGTAACTGCCGCGAGAATTGGAGGGAAGCACAAGAGCTCGTACGAGTAATAACAGGATACTAGTTAGAACTATTCTGCAGAGACGAAGTTGTTTTTTTTAATGACTTACTTTAGTGGAAGCTGAGGTCATTTCGTCAATCTCTGTGGTAGCACAAACTGAATATATTCCGTGAGCAGGACTCGGTGGTGTCTTCAACAGCTGCTAAGATGCTAACTGTGTAGCTAGGTAGCATTTGGTGTTTGTCTTGGTGTCGTAGAGCAGCTACAAATCTGCTCTTCCGCAGCTTTTACTCTTGGTACCTGGAGAATTGCACCATTTTAATACAGCACCGCACAGTGGCATTAAAGTTTATTCTACAGCTAATTACATTACCACAGAAAACAGGCAAGTCATTTCGCTCAGTGAATACAATAAGAAGGCTGATGCTGCCTTCACTGTCTTCTTGTAATCTCCACTTCGGTAAATTCATGTGCGCCGTGTTTGTGAGGTTTACGTCCCTATTATAAAAAGGATACAATAGTGGACATTTCAGTGGCCTTTTTTGAAATGTTAATCGAAAACAATCGTTCACTCGAAATACAGACATTTGCATGCAAAAGAAAAAAAGAGGACTCTGTCTGTGAATTAAAATTAAATTACACAAAAACAGTCGAATGATGTTTACATTGACCTGATTTAAAAATTAATTTGTAGGGGAAGGACGGGTGTAGAATCAAATATGTACGCTCAAGTAGCACCAATCAATAACTTTAGAGATTTTAGAAAAAATTTTAAAAGGATTTGTGTCGCTCAAATGACTTGAAAGGCTGGTGCCCTGAACTCATCAGCCTGAACACTGACATCTGGTGGTTCAGCCAAGTCTCCATCACTTGTGTAAAAATATTTGAGAAGGTTGTATGTTTTATTCGCAAGCCTATATTCTGCCACAGAAAAAAAAAAAAAAAATTTTATTGTTCACCAACTGATGATTTATCTATCCATACATGTTCACTTTACAAACATTATGTAAATCCATGTGCAGGTACTGATACAGAAACAATGGGGTGGTTTGCAACAAAAATACACTTTGGGATGCAAAGGACAAACTGCTGTCATATAGGGTTACAGCATGTTTTTTTTAGTAATACTGTATGGTATATTGGTCTACTTAACATCGCTGTTTTGTGAAACACCACCAGTGTGGACATAAAATTAAACTCAGGAGATTTTGTTTTCAGTCAGATTTCTGTTTTTATTGTATTTAAGTGTTACTATTATATAACTACAATTTAAAGATGCTGTGGAATGCTAAAGATGTTAAAATTATTTATAGTTAACCCCATCACCACGACCCTGGGGCTCTTTATTATCAAACTCCAAGAGGTCACAGCAGCTGATGACAGAGGAAAGTAGAACTTTTCATTGTCTTCATTGTTTCCAGAGCAGGAACCATTATTAATTTAACAATGCTAATAATTCCTGATATAAGCCTTTGTAGCTCCTTTCGATCAGCTGTGCTAGTCTTTTGTGAAGCCAATAATGCAGCTATTACAGTTGCCAGCGTGGCTTTAGAAGTAGTAACTGAAAACCTTGTTATCATTGAAATTTAAGTCAGTTTATTCACCTGCTGGATGAGATTTTACAGCACCAGTTAGAAAACAGTTTTCGACCTTCTCACACTGTGCCAAAATTCCAAGTTTGAAGACAGACACTCTGAATATTTGTTTTACTACATAAAACTTTAAATTCCAGAGTTACAAAAAATAGAAATTCTTGACATCTTAAGATCAGAGTGTAATTCCTGTGTTTACGTCCTCCAGTTCTATAGTTCTCTGACCTTTCTAGTCAAGTTTCATACAGCTTGCATATGTTAAAAGTGGTTGTTGCATAGTTGCTGTCATTCAGTGCAGACAGACAGAGGATAAAGGTGAGTCGTATTTATAGCTCAAACCATTTTGGTAGGAGGATGATCAGTACCATCATGGGTAAAGGCTTAAAATCAGATACTGGCATTGGGGCATTAGTGGTATACCATTAAGTAATATATCCATCAAACATGGAACACTGTGCAGGCCAATGGAATTGAAGTCCTGGACGTAATGCGCACCACTACAAAGGCACATATAGATAAATAACATGTACTCTATAGTTTTTGTCTAGTTGTCCAAAAAGTAAAGCTTGTAGATGTGAAATGTACATTTACTACCATTTTAGCTTTTGGGTGTTAATTTCGTGGTAAACATATGCTTTTACAACATAACAAGAGACTTTTATTTCTGTGAAAATCTTACATTAGAAAAGGCCTCGACCATGAAACACACCTTTGAGGTCCTTAAATTTATTTTATTTATTTATTTATTTATTTAACTTTCCTTGAATTTAAGCACAAAATAGCAAGAGCAGCAACATTGTGTTTTCAATTGTCGTGCATATCTAAAAGCTCCAGACACCACTAAGTAAGGGCAAAGAAAGTTGTTTTTTTTGGTTTTTTTGGCGTTGACGGCCAGCTGTTTAATTTCCGACAGTACGTAAACGCAGCGTAGTAGCACGTCAGCATGGTCTCTGGAAAGTCACGTGGCATTAAGGTCATATGATATGTTTTTTTTTTCCAGTTTACGCTAAAGCTTTTGCCTCCACAAATCACAGTTGACAGGCTGGAAATGCACCAGTTCATTAAATAAAAATGCGCATTTCGCCATATTGAAATAAATTACTTGACATGTTGTTTTAAAAGTAAGAAATTTAAGGGAACTAAGGAAGCCTGTCAACATCCCGGAAATTCCCGGAGCTCAATCACAGTCACCCGACTGAAGCAGTGACAGAAGTTTCAAGCGCTACAGTTTGTTGTCTCTTGTTTCATAGAACAGACAGGGTTTAATCATGCGTGGACTCATTTGTGGACCTAAACTCGCCGCGTGTGGGATTGTGTTGAGCATGTGGGGTGTGATCATGCTGGTGAGTGTGAAAACTTGATGTCTTTTCTGTTTCAAAATAGAAGTCAACAGAAGCAACTGATCTCAGCCTCCAACATGAACATCAGTTTGAATCAACAGCTCCAGTCACGAGGGCTGTTGGGTTGGAATGCTGACAAATGTGTCTTAATGTAATCAAAAAATCTAATCAGAGTCGCAATAGTTTGCTTTGCAAAAATAGGGAAACAATGAGTCCAGTCTCTCATTGTCATCCTTTGTCAAATATTATTGGAAACCAAATATACTGTGGTAACTGGAAACAGCAATACATTTGAAGATGTGCGTCTTCATCAAAACAGATTAATCAGTGATGGAAATAATGACTTGTTTCAGTGATAATTCCTGAATTTTGTCAACAGAAGTTTTTTTGTGTTGTGGCAAACCAGGAAGTTGGTATGCTTTGTCTCATAAATCCCACATACATTAACATAGGGTTTCTTAAAGGGTTTTAATTTTAGAAAAATAACCAAAAAAATCTATAGTTGGCTGTTATTAAGTTAGATGTTTTATATGCACATTTTTTCCAGACTTATTTGCAAGTTACTTCTGTTTGGATTAGTTCTGCTTTTTTTCTGAAATGTTATTTGCAATGCCTGTAATGAATGTAATAAAATATTATCTTTTCAAGGTATTTTAGATGAGTGCATAAGAAACATTTAAAAAATGTTATACTCACCGGCCACTTTATTTGGTACACCTGTACACCTGCTTGTTACCACAAATGTCTAATCAACCAATCGCATCACAGCAACTCAATGCATTTAGGCGTGTAGATGTGGTCAAGACGACCTGCTGAAGTTCAAACTGAACATTGCAATGGAGCAGAAAGGTGATATAAGTGACTTTGAACGTGGCACAGGCATGATCAGAAACTGCTAATCTACTGGAATTTTCACACACAACCATCTAGAGAATGGTCAGAAAACGAGAAAATGTCCAGTGGGCAGCAGTTCTCTGGGCCACAATACCATGTAGACGCCAGAGGTCAGAGAGGAGTGGCCAGCCTGGTTTGAGTTAATAGAAAGACAACAGAAACTCAAATAACCGCTTGTTATAACCAAGGTATGCAGAAGACCAACTCTGAACACAAAAAACGTTGAACCTTGCAGTAGATGGACTACAGCAGGGTACTGCTTCTGTCAGCTAAGAACAGGAAACTGACGTTATAATTTGCACGGGCTCACCAAAACTGGACAACAGAACACTGGAAAAACATTGCCTGGTGCAAGGATTCTTGATTTTTGCTGCAACATTCAAATGGAAGGGTCAGAATTTGCTGCAACCAACATGAAAGCACAGACCCACCTTGCCTTGCCTTGTTTTAACAGTTCAGGGTGATAGTGGTTGTGTAACGGTGTGGGGGATATTTTTCGACCCCTTAGTACCAAGTGAGCAACGCCGCAGCCTTCCTGAGTATTGTTGCTGACTGTCCATCCCTTTATGAGCACAGTGTACCCATCCTCTGATGACTAATTCCAGCCGGATAATGCGCCATGTCACAAGCAAGAATATGACAGTGAGTTTGCTGTACTCCATTCACCAGATCTCAATCTAATAGAGCACCTTTGGGATGTGGTGGAACAGGAGATTTGCATCATGGACCCGCAGCCAGAAAAATTTGCAGCAACTGCTATCATGTCAATGTGGACCAAAATCTTTGGGGAATGTTTCCAGCACCTTGTTGAATCTATGCAATGAAAAATTAAGGCTGTTAAGAAGGCCAAAGGGGGTCCAATCCAGTACTAGCAAGGTGTACCTAATAAACTGTGTGTGCGCATGTATATATAAACTGAGATTTTTAAAAAAAATATCATGCAGCCCTACTTGCAAGCAGGCTTTAACAATAAGATTTATCTAATTAAGTCTTTGTTCAGTATGTATATTTTAAAATGCGATAAGTCTGCCATGTTAAGTGTAAGACCCATGAAATGTCCCTCCTGTCTCTCAGGGCATGCTGGGGATTTTCTTCACAACACATTCAGCAGTGTTAATTGAAGATGTGCCTCTGAAAGAAGAAGACATCTTCCCAGAGTAAGGCCTCCACTGTCTCACAACACCCTTTCAAATCTCTGACTTGGTTTGTGTTGGACACTTTGCTTAGTTTGCTGATGATCAAAAACCTTTTTACACTCAACAGAAGGAAGCAGTTGATTCTCCCAAAATGAAAGCTGGGCCAAGATGCTTTTTTACAAAGCACGTTTATGGAACTTGTGTATCAAATTGCACGTTTCTTAGGAAACAGGAGCCCTTTTCAAACTTATTAGGCCACTGTGAGTTATTTGATATGAATGGTGCAAATCAAGTAGTTAAATGTTCTAAGAAAATTTGTGTTGCACAGACCTCGTGTGAAGCTGAAAGCTGCTAATCTGACTACAAATGCAGTACGGTTTAAGCACAGTTAATATGACCTTAAAACTGAGGTACATACCGAACCATTATTTTTGTGTACCGTTACACTGCCTCATACCAGTTAGAATTTGTGCATCAAACATGGTCAAGAAAAAAAATAGCTGCAGTGTGAGAGTTGTCCTTCAAACAGCCCCCTTAAATTTGTAAGTTTTCTCATGGCAACTAAAAGGGTGGAGGTGTAGCTGCTGTTTTCAAACATACATTTCACTACATGCAGATTTCATATTAGTTGTGATGCCAGTTTATGTAATTTAGTCAATCACAAAAATAAAATCTGATGATTCCAGTTCCTGATGCAATAGCACCTGCTAAGAGTAAAATAATCTCACAACAATAATGTCGCAACAGTAGCTCAGTACGGAGAAAGGCAGCATGAAGATGGAAAACATTTCAGAGTGACTGTGACATCTACAAAGCAAAACTCCATCTTTACAAGCCTGCGCTCTGCAGAACTTGTCAGGCCCATCTCTGTAGTATCATTAATAGAAATCCTAATAGCTCGTGGGCTTTATTTGCCATTGTTGATAGGTTAACAAATCCACTGTTGCAGTCACTCTTGAATTCCTGTCAACTAAAAAATGTAATGGGTTTTTTTTATATCAAAGAATTAAGAACATCTGATCAAGTATTAGACCCAAAAGAGACATTATGACCCTATTTCCCTTTGAAAAAGAAAAGTTTTGTTAATGTCTGAATTCACTGCTGGTAATAAGATTCTCGAAGAAGTAGTGCAGCATCTTAAACTGTCTATGTGCTCATTAGATCTTCTGCCAACAAGCTTTTTATCTGTTTGGCAGTGGATTTGTTGCATTATTTTAAATGGCTCACCTCTCTTTGGCATCTTCACGGCTTTACTAAAAACTGCAGTTGTCAGGTCCCTCCTGGAAACCTGAATGCTTTAATACTAAGTAAAAGGCCTATATAAAATCTCTCCTTCACTAGCAAGAGTATTGAAAAAGTATTTTTTTGTCAAATGAATGACTCCTTGCAGACAAATACCATCGTTTCCACTCATGTCACAGCACTGACATCACTCACATAAAGATTTTAAATATCATTTACCTCAGTAATTATTTCAGGAGCCTTATAGTTCTGGTGGCTTTAGATCTTAGTGCGGCACTTGATGCTGTGGATCCTGAAAATTGGCTTGGGCTGTCAGGGACAGTCTTTAGGTGGGTCAGATCATACTTAGAAGGCTGGGGATGTAGTCTGTTGGTAATTATGAATCTCAAATAACCGCCATGCATACAAGATCTTGAGCCTCTCCTATACAATGCCTGTATTTTCCAGTTAACTTAGCTGCATGAACATGGTTTTAAAATGACCTGTGAACACTAAAAGTTCCTAACTGCTGGCTGGGTTGTTCTGTACCTCCTGATTTTTATTTGGTCACAATCGACCTGCATCCTTTTCCATCCTTGGGAAGTCTCGCAGTCAGGTTATTTTTTATTTTTATTCTCTGGCAATTCTTTTCCATATGGAGCCAAGGTTCCAAACAAGCTGAACAGTTCGCTAGTTCATCACAGGGCCAAGACAGAGACAGACAACCATGCCCACTCACACACATCAACGACCAAGTTAGAGTCACAATGTAACCTAACATGCATGTGTTTGGACTGTGGAAGAAAGCATCCAAAAATAAACCCACGAAGAAACAGGAAGAACACATATAGAAAGGCCAAGGCCAACCAGTAGATTCAAATCCAGGACCTGTCTAGCTGTAAGGCGACAGGGTAGGTTTTACTCTTCTTCCAGTTATTCTGCTAAATTAGGCTAATCATGGTCATATCTTAATAGCTCCTCTTCCTCTGAAAGAGAGCAAATGAGCAAATTTCCCCAATTTTTCAACTATTTCTTTTAATGTCAGCAAAAAAGGGAGGCATCAACTGCCTTTGGTAAGATTAAATTGGTTTTGTGAGATATGTACCTTTTAACAGGCTGCAATGTTATTGTTTGTTCCCTTAGTAAGAACCCTCCTCAGAAGATCTATGAACTGTACAACACGGTGGGCTACAACTGCTTCATAGCAGCTGCTATGTACATCCTGTGTGGAGCATTCTCCTGCTGCCAGATGAGGCTCAACAAGCAGAAGGTGAGTTCGTCCGTTCAGCTTCTAGATTTTATTTCATTTTATTAGTTCAAGGTTGTTGACTTCACTGAAAGAGTCAGGACAAAGTGAATGACAGAGGGAAGAAAAAGGATCAGTTTAGCCAAACTACTGCTTGCTCCAGTGGTATCATTTGTTTCTATATCGGGGTTCAAACTGAAAACAGCCTGTTTACCAAATTGCCATTCTGTTGTAGTGAGTTGTAGTTGCACGAAGACAACAAAATGCAGCAAAGTTAGTTTGAGTAACAGATACTGCAATGCTATTTATTCATTGTCTTTGGTCACCAAAAGACACACACTGTACGATCAGCAGTTTAAAATAAAGCATGTGCAAAAATTAAATGTGTGATGTGTTCATGATTTAAAAATCCACCCTTAGTCAGTGTAATATTTGTTTATTCAGATGGAAAAAAATATGACTTCATCTGTACTTGTGTGTTGTTCTTTAGGAGTATCTGGTGCACTAGTGCCATCTGCTGGACGGAAGGACTCCCAGAGGACCTTTTGACTCACCTTTTCTCTGATCACTGACTTCTCCTGCAGGATTTAAACGTCCTAGTCAGGAGCTAAAGGGACACTGTGGAAACAGATCAATGTTTGAATTTATTTACGATTAAATTAATTCTACCTCTAATCACAAGTGCTTAAATTATTTGATCGTGGTCGTACTAACGACCCACTGGAACTCCGTGAGTAGGTAGCCTTGTTAAAACATTTTAAAGTGTTGATTTGTTCTTGCATACTTCTGTACTGTACAAGTGAATGTATCTCTGATTTTTACCAGTAGTGTCCAACTGCGTTTGGAATGTCGGTCATTCCATCAAGTCATTCCTTTCTTTCAGCTTGGTTCAGTCTGTCTGCACAGTGCTTCACATCAGAAGTTTGTCTTTATTCTAATCTCAGCTGGAAGCACTTCAGCTGCTGATGTGAAGCATTTGACGGTCAGCATCATGACATCAGTGAAGCCCCTGCACTGGTTCACTTGCTCACCTTCTCAGGTTTTTGTACTGAGGGGATCTTACAGTTTGCTGATGTGCTGTAGTCATTTCAAACATTAAAATTGCTCAGATAACTAAGTTGCTTTGGTAGGATTGTTTTTTTGTTTGTTTGTTTTTTTGTTTTTTTGTTTGTTTTTGAGCATTTTCAGCACATGAACACATAATAGAATTATAATTGAGAACTCTGAAGAAGGTAAAAATTTATGATGGTAAAAATTTAAACTACCGCAAATGATGCAAGAAAAACTGGTAATCATGTAAGTTAGTATATTTGTTTTACCACTCTCAGAGCAGCTGCCTTTTTGTAAGGTTACGCATGCACATTAGAGCTTCATTCATTTATGAATAATACTCAACTGCATTTAGGTCTGACACTGTCCCATAATGAATGAAATCACTTTAGTTTTTGGCCAAAACAACAGTGAAATTAATATTACTGATTAAATATTCCCTGTACCATGGTACATAGTGACATACAGCAGATATACGTAGGTTTGCAGATATAGAATAGAATAGAATAGAACTTTATTGATCCCTTTGGTGCAAATCTCAGGGAAATTGTTGATATATAGCGTTGATAGATATAACATATTACCTCAGAATCTGTCTCACTCGTAGGAAGTTGCCAGGAAATTAATTGGTGAAAGAGAGCTGATTTAAAATCACAACTCTGATATACAGGCGGTCTGATCTCTGTTCATGGTTCATTCAATTTACACAGAATCCCATGTAAATCAGCATCAGATCACATTAATTAGGTGATCAAACCAGTCCCTCTAATTTGAGAAAATTAAGAAAAAACTGATTAAACAGCAAATATAATACAAAAAAACAAACAAACAGGAAAACAGCTTTTTATTACTGATTCATCAGGTATTTAGACTGTCAGGACTGAATTATCCATACATGTTACTTCAACAATCCTCACCTCCCTTAACAAAAATGTTGGTGTTGCTAAATAATTAAGTCAAACTAGCATTACTATAGCAGAACTACATTGTGTGCAGTTTATGATCCGAATAAATTCAACCTTTCTGGCTGATAAACATCACATTTGTATTTCATAATTTGTGCTAGACAACTTATGCCTGACTAACAATAAAATCTGTAAATTATATATTGGATCCAATGCACACACACTTGTCTAACCACACATCATCTACCGAGTTTGATGAGTCACAATAACCTCATTTCTGGCCAAAATAATAAGAGTCACAGTGTTTTTAACGTAAATCAAGTTTTATTTGGTTAGCATTAAAAAACATTCTGATGTCTTCATTTGCACAACACAGTTATCCTTCACCTATAATTTCATTTTTTTCTTGATAATAGTTTGACCAAATGCAAAGGTAGATTTCAGAAAGAAAGTATTTTGGAATAAACATTTAAGCCATACCCTGGTACTTAGAGAGTACAATTTGAATGGAGTCAACGTTTGAAATTTGAACCACTTGGACATATAGTATTATTTTGTCTTGAATAAACCTTTAAATCCACAATTTGTTCTGTTTACATGGAATAAACCTTTAAAACTACAAGTTTTGTATAAAAATAAAAAACAATCAGTCTGATCAGAAGTGGATCATTTTTCCTAAAACAGTTTTGAGTCTGCACCACACAGAGTGGTCCTGCAAGAAGCAGTCTGTTAGTATTTTTATATAGTGATGCTGTTTTCTATGCGGCTGGGCAGGAGGAAAAGGTACTGCAGCGGCAGTCCTTCATTCTGACTCAGGAAACAGCCCTCGATCTCCTTCAGTTCCATTCTGAACCTTTCAATCAGCTCCAGGGCTTTCTCCTCAGTGAAGTGCTCCTCTGTGTACTGGCCCAAAGGAATCTAAGCAAAAGAAGATGGGAATTTGCTGAAGAAAGGGGATTTTTTATTTTTTTTTTTAAATTGTTATTTCACAAAACAAAACAGTTCTAGCTAAAACCAGCATTTCGGGTTACAATGTAATGTTGGGTGTGGTCTGTCTACCATGTCAGCTGCTGATGTCATGAACCTGATCACAGTTCAAGACAAGTATAATTTAGTATAATTTCCCCCCTGACATCCACAAGTGGTAAAGGGATTTTCCAGTCATCTTATTGCTTAATCAGCCTCCAAAGAAACACTGGCCTTCAGCTGCTTACAGAAATCTAAGCAGAAACACTTTCTTAGCTGACAATGAGAAAGTGTGTCCACTGCTAATACTGGATCCATAACAAACCTGAACATTAAATGCAGTATGGATTTTTATTAGGGCAGCAGGAGATATTTTCTGCTGTTTAGTAAGAATACAAGTTTAAAATGTATTGCAACATTAAAGGGATCATCCCAGTATTTTGAATGACTTTGAACATATGCTGAATGCAAAAAATTGGCTTTACTGGTCAAGTGTGTCAGCACAGGCAAAGAATTTTAATCTGGTGTTTACCTAACTCTCAAAGTAATTTTAAAAAAAGGGGGGGCAACATGTTCCAAAGAGAAAACAAGTATTTAGTGAGTGATCATGTATCTGATTCACTGTTTGCATTACATCTTTATATTATGCTGTACATGTTTTATGTAGTGTTGCCATTTTACCCTGATAATTTTAATCTCAGTCAGGCTTTACTGTATCTGTTATTGTTTACCGACATAATAGCTTTTCATATCATTTTGTATTGACAATATATAGATGCCTCTGAATAAAGAAACTGTGTGTGGAATAGGGACACCACAAATGAAAGTCAGTTCAGTGCCATTGTATTTTTTAAAGGCAAAAATCATGATGATAGATCTCAAGATGTCTGAGATTTTTTTATAAAGTCATTCACTCATTGATAGATATGGCCTGAATGAGATTAAACCAAACACTGGTTGTTTATATACAAAGCACAAATAGATGTCAGAAAATGCTTTTTTCCCCTAATTTAGGTGAATTAACCCTTTAAAATTGAAGCGTTGGTCCCTCATGTTATGTCCATGTGGTAATTTGCTACCATATAACCAGACAGATGGACTCACTGCGTCTGGTTGTGCTCGTCCCAGATGCCATGTGATTGCCATTTGCACACAGGACTGACTGACATCAGGAAGGCTGGCCATGATCATCTCCATGGTAACATCATCTTTGTTTGTTGGTGGGGGCAGCCTCATGGTGCAGGGAGTGTTGGGAACCCAGGCACACCAGTCAAACTAAAAAATAAAAATAAAAAAATCATTGTGGTAGCATTGCAAAGTACAGTGGCAGGGGAAGTGTTAAATGTTCCCTGAATTCTAAATGATGTGTAGAAAGTTAATTTCAATCTCACAGTTGAATTTCAAACCACCAGCACTGTCAGTGTGAGTGTTCAGCACCTGTCCATTATTGGTTGCAGCATGCTGGACGGTGCTGGTGAAGATGGCCACAGCCAGCAGGGTGGAGAGTTCCTCTCTGCTCCTCAGCTTACTGGCCAGACCTGAAATCACATATACACTTAATATCAATTTTAAAAGTAAGGCAACAGCCTTTTAAAATAATTTTGCCACACTAATGGCAAAGCATACTTATCAATAGCAAAGAGAATAAAACATATATAAAGAAAATAAAAATATATTTTAAAAAAGATATAAAAAAAAATATTTTAAAAAATAAACAATAATGAGAAAATAACAAAAAAAATTAAAATTAAATTAACGACTGTCTGAAGAGTTTAAACCACAAACCCTGCCTTCACTCTAAGTCAACTGGGATAGGCTCCAGCCCCAATGCAACCCTTGTGAGGATTAAGCGGTAAACAGATAATGGATGGATGGAAGTCCACACAACAGGCCTTCAGCATTGATAATTTTGTTAGAATTTTGTGGTTAAATAATTATAGCACATTCTAAAAGACATAGAAAATATCTTAGATAAATCCAATACATGCAATAAATGAATTCTAAAGATATGATGTATTAAAACATTTCAAAGTTCCCACTAGATGGCCAAAAGCTATTTTTTGAGTCACCTTTGTTTTGTGTATAATTCAATTCAATTCAATTTTATTTGTATAGCACATATTTACAACAACAAGTCATCTCATAGCGCTTCACAAAGGCAGAAACAGAAACACCCAACAATCCAAAACATCTGGATTCCCTATAAGCTTCAGCAGTCCGCAAGCAGTCCACAACAGTGGGAAGGAACCGAAAACCCCCACAGGGGAAAAAAAACCTCCGACAGAACCAGGCTCAGGGAGGGACGGCCATCTGCCTCGACCGGTTGGGTGGATGTAGAATGAATTATACAATGTAGTTTACAGTTAAACAAGTTATTAGAATTTATTGTCCTTTTGTAACAGGAGGCATCATGGTGGGGCAGCAGGATGCAGAAGGTGAGGCCAGCGGCTGTAGTTTAGTTTTAGTATAGGCTGCATATGTAAAATCAACAGATTATCCAAAGGGAAGTGAGGTACTGCTAAACGGCTTAGAATGAGATTTTACAAAATATTTGCACCCCAACTTTTGTTGTTCTTTTTTTAAATTAACATTGGTCTAATTATTATTTCCAAAGCTGCATAACAGAAATCCCCTTCCCTCTCTTTCACAGTATTTCTTGTCTGTATCTGTATTGTTTATCACATGATTCAAAATGCCAAAAAAAAAAAAAACTGAACTGAACAATGCAATAATCATTTTTGGTATGGTCTTCTATGATTGAAACCATATCCTTCACATATATGCTTTTTCTACAAACGTTAAGGTCAACTGTGTAATATGCTGTTGGTCCTTTACCAACAGCGCTGACCCACTTTGTTTGAACCATTGTTTTGCACTTTGTTTGAACCATTCTTCAGACCAGTGTTGATTGGTGCCCACCACAGCTGACTAGAAGCACCCCACAAAAGCCTTGCAGGGATGATACAACACACCTGTCTGGTGATAACTGTTTGGGCCTTGTCAAAGTTACTCCAGTCTGTACACCTGCCCATTTCTCATTTATCACATAATACATTCCAGACCTTGACATGTGCTGTCATTGTAAGATAACTGACATTATGAACTTCATCTGTGATTGGTCATAATGTTCTGGATCATTGGTGTATATGTTAGTTGTTAGTGGAAAAATACAGTGTATTATTGACCAACCAAAGTTGGGACACTCTACGAAGCCTTCCTGTGATATGTCTTTGATCCAGGCTTGGAGCTCCAGGTCCTCCTGCACATCATAGTCCAACTGGTAGTACAGGCCTACCATCGCAGTGACAAAACTGAAAGAAGAGGTACAGTTAGTTATCAGTCATTCAGAATGCATTAAGAAAAGTCTACATGTGGCTGATGTGGTTGCTTCCTAGCACATTCCTCAGAAGTTTTTTTAAAAAATTGTTATTTCACAAAACAAAAC